GGAGGCTGAGGCAGAAAGATCGCTGCAAATTCAGAATCAGCCTGGGATTACACAGTGCGTTCGAGACCAGCCTGAACAATTTAGTGAACACCTGTAAAAAAAAAAAAAAAAAAAAAAGACAAATCAGAGGAAAATCCAAATCCTGGTTTTGTGAACAGAGAAACTAAGACCGAATACCAGTCCAAGTAGCAAGCTTGCTCTAGAAAGGTAGACAGGAGACCAGCTGTGAGTTTTTAGTCCAGGACTCTTTTATCCTTTCAGTCCCATCCTCCAGGCACAAACACAAGGCTGGAACTCGCACTGGGCAGGACACAGAGGCACGAGGAGACCACAGCCAGTGCTCAGGAAGGGCCGGCCAGTGTGCCCAAGTGCTCAGGTCTCAGGTCTGGCTTGCAGCATGGCCTCCTGGCTGCATGGGTGGGGACCAGGGAGCACCAACACCTGCGGACCCCAAGAGGGCCTCCTGTTGTTAACTGCTGCCCCACCTTGTCACCAGCAGAGCTCTGAGCTGTGTGATCCTTACAGGAGAGAACAGTGTGCACTTACCCCCATGGCAGAGAGGACACCACCAAGGGCAGGGAGCACTCAGTCTGGACGCCGCTTGGGAGACCAGGAACAAGACAGTGGGCACTTCTTGTCACTGCAAGGCCAGGTACTGTCAGAGGGAGGAAACAGGTTCTCCCTTCCTTGGACCTTGGTTCTTTCATCCCGGATGAAAAAATTTAGCCAAGATGCACAGGTGGCCAAGCAGAAGTCTGAAAATTTATTGGAAAGTAGAGACCAAAGGAGCCTTTAAGAAGATGGGCAGCCCATAAAGACATCTGCCTCAAGGGCGAGTTTACAAACCTCTCTAAAATTATTCCTGGGATCTGCAGAGTTGGGGTCATTATGATGCTCATCAACAGCTTGAAAGTTACTTGGAATTGCAAAATGCAATTCCTGCCCCTTAAGGTGGTCAATGTGTCCTCAGGGACTTTGCGTAAGACACTTACAAAAGATACATTCTGGTGGCTGGAGCATATCTATAATTGCAGCATTCAGGAGGCAGAGACAGGAGGATTACCAAGAATTCTAGGCCAGCCTGGACAACAAGTGAGGAGGCCCTGTCACAAAAACAAAGGATAAGTACTTAAAGCAGGCCCCATCCCTCAACAGGAGGCCTTTAAAGAACATTTCCTGATGTCACTGGGCTGCAGGTCAAAGTGTGGGTGGCCAGAATTCTGTGCATCTTGTTCTTGAGGTGGCCAGGCACTGGAAAGAATGTGCACAGGGTATTACTGAAGATGTCATTGTACTCTGTGACATCATGAAAACTCTGGTCCTGGGCCACTGGGGAGATAGCTCAGTAGAATAAGTGCTTCCCTGGCAAGTGCAAGGACCTGAGTTCAATCCCTGGTTCCGCAAAAAAAAAAAAGAAAGAAAAAAAAAAGAAAAACCTCTGGTCCTCAAAACTTTCCCAAAATTGAGGAGAACTTAACCCACACTAACGAAACAACATCTACAGGTCTGCTGACTCTTGTCAAAGAAGAAATTTCAGCAGTAAGAGCAGCAGGTGGGCTAATAGGCAGAAATGCAAAGATGCGCTCTCAAAGAAACGGAATAAGAGAGGGAGAGACAGAGGCCTCATGAGCCAGAGCTGGGTGCATTTGTGGGGTCTACAGGGCGTCATCCAGGCAGCTGATCTGGGATTGTGTGGCTCTGTGTCAGCCAGGTCAGAATGGAAGCCACACGCAGGTGGTAGGAGTAGAGTTCTGCTGTCAACTAACACTGCTGCTTCCTTGAAGGTCAAAGAAGCACAGGGACGGGTCTCTAGCCAGAGGGACAGGCTTCCTGTGTCTCTGAGGCCTCTAGGGCTCTGAGTGTGTTTGCTGCACAAGGGAGAAGCTTGGGTCACTTTTGTCTCCTGGAGCAGCAATTTCTTTTATTTTATTTTTTATTTATTTATTTATTTATTTAGTGTGTGGCCAGCTCAGCCCACCAGGGGGCGGGCGGGCCAG